TCTCTTTATCAATTTCACGCTGCTCTGCAGCGCAGAAAGGGGAGGAAATGCCACGGCGCGCAATGAATTGGAAGTTAATCCGTCAGCACTAACCTTATCTTCAGGGCAGATGTTTTTTATTTTATTTGGCTTATAATTCCTTACTAAATGTAGTATTTCATCTTGATGTACAGCGTCTTTGATACGATTTAAATCAAATTCCTCGTCATTATAATTCGCTTCCGATAAAGAAGAAAGTGAAACAGAGGTTATTGAAAACGAAAAAATTTCGATTGACAAATTAGTCGGTATTCTCAACACAGCAATTATAGGACTTGAACAGCGGAACTTTGAAACTGAAGAAGAAATTATGTCTGTTTATAGAATTAAAGAGAAAGTATTATCACATAAAACGAAACAACTTAAACAACTTACATTGAAAGAAATGTTTAATAAAGTAAACAAATAAATATTAAGCTTTTTTTTTTGTAAATTTTGATACCCTTTAGATCATAATTGTTCTTATTTCATAAATTACGGTTTCATATTTTTAATTTTATAATTTCTGCATGCCATCTTACCAGATTTAAACTGATGATCTATAATCCGAAAAAATCAATAATCCGGAATCGCTGAAGTCCCAACGAGTCCGGATTAACGACTTTTTGACTGTAGTAGTTTGCTGCACTACCAGTATCAATTATCACTAGTACTAGTATCCCATAACTGGTTTAATGACCAAGCAACCACAACAAGTACAATACTAAGAAACGTTCACCCAACAATACATTTTATTCTCAATCCCAACAATGTATTTTATGCTCAATCATTAAATACATTTTGCTGTCTTGCCAGCTGTTTGTATACATCTAATTTTAATAATTTGCATGTATAAGCCGCACCCCTGAATTTAATTTCAACATATGGTGTCATTTCTTTTTACAACCAAATCTCAAAAGTAATTTCATATTGACAAATTTTAGGTACCCAAGTTTTCACATACATCAAAATTATGAACATTCATACCTTATCCAGGAATTTTTACCAGAGAAATAGCATGCATTTAATGATCAAAACTCCCTTTAAATGATAGTAATAAAGAGTGGATAATAATAACAAATACTATTGGATCCGGCTTATTATTTTTTGCAGACTGTTAGAGCAATTTTATAAAAGTAAGCTTAAACTTTCGATTATGTCAAATAGAATTTCCGATATATATTTACTAATATGTAACAAATATTACAATATATATTTACTAATATCTACAAAAGCCAAAGTATATTTCGAAGTCCATTAAACAAAAAAGTGGAATTGCTGCAAAAAAAATGGATAAAGGCATATCCTTTGTTTCTCTAACCATTCTGAAATCTCTTTATCAATTTCACGCTGCTCTGCAGCGCAGAAAGGGGAGGAAATGCCACGGCGCGCAATGAATTGGAAGTTAATCCGTCAGCACTAACCTTATCTTCAGGGCAGATGTTTTTATTTTATTTGGCTTATAATTCCTTACTAAATGTAGTATTTCATCTTGATGTACAGCGTCTTTGATACGATTTAAATCAAATTCCTCGTCATTATAATTCGCTTCCGATAAAGAAGAAAGTGAAACAGAGGTTATTGAAAACGAAAAAATTTTGATTGACAAATTAGTCGGTATTCTCAACACAGCAATTATAGGACTTGAACAGCGGAACTTTGAAACTGAAGAAGAAATTCAATGTTATGAATTATGTGTGCTATTTAGTTTCATTAAAAGTAAATTACTTTCATGGAGAATGTAATTAAAAAACAGAACAGAACTTCGACAGGAGACAAAACTGTCTCGACTGTTGACTGTTGTTTTAAAGATATTTCACTGCATTTTTCTTTCTTGGAATTCATAAGAGCATTTTCTCAAAAGATTAATCTTTTATTACTTATATAAAGCTTACACCATTGAATTGACTATTGTGACTATTCTTAAATAAGTGAAAATAATGTTTCTTTTTTTTAAAAGAAATATTTTTACTGTTAAAAAAAACAGCAGATTCTTGATATTGATTTGATGTTTTAGTAAAATTAATTCATTAAGTTTTTTTGGAAAGAAAATCAGCTTTTAAAGCAAATAGCAATACAATATTTCCAGCTTTTTTAATAAACTTATTCTTAAATACAAAAATAATTAAACAGGAAAAAATTATAGTAATAATTTTTAAAAAATTATAGACAGAAAGAAAGTAGTAATAATAATTTACACAGAAAAAATAAAATTTTTGCAAGCATGCATTTTTAAAGAATTTTCATAATACAATGAAAAATATTGGATGGGATAAATCATCTACAGGATCATACACAGCGTGCATAATTCTGAGCTTAACTTTCGCTTTACGAGTTTCATCCATGTTTTTCAATACTCATTAAAAATGCATTAAAAACTCATTAAAAATGCATGTCATCATCGTAGATTTCTTGCGAGATCAATTCTTTATTTCGTTCGGATACGATTACAACTCATTCGGATATGATGTGTTCCATATTAAAAAAAAACGTCGGCTTCGATGTGACAGCGAAATCGTCTAAAGAAAGCTGCTTCGCTCTGATTGGTCGGCGCTTATCCCAAATTCGGCGTAAAGTTGAAAACTTGGAACCCTATGCCACGAGCCCTAAACCAGATTCTGTGACGTAGCAGTGACTGGTTGCCTTGGCAATGGAGCTCAGTTTTAACCACTTATGCCCTTTACGCCCTCGTCTGAACAGGGCCATAGAGACTAAAAACGAAGAGTTGCGGTTAGAAACCAAGATTAGAGCTTTAGAAAGTCTTGGAAGAACGCAAGAGAAGTATGGTGATTTCTTAGCGCCTTTAGTTGAATACTGCCAGCCCGAAGAAGTATTAATTGCTTGGGAAAGAAACAGAAATTTAAAAGAAGCACCTCAGCCTGATGACCGATGCCTTGAAAATTTGATGAATTTTCTGAAACAAGAAGTGAAAGGAGAAGAAATGGTCGTGTTAGCCCGCACTGGGTTTGGTTATAATCATATTTCTAAGAAAAAGGATACACTAAATAAAAATCTAGAATCCGCCACCACAGCTACGTTAGTAAGTACATCAAATTCTCAGAGCCCAGGTAAGCGCAATTTTAACTGTCTCTTTTGTGAAAAATGGCACCCAACTAAAGAATGTTTTTCTGCTAGAAATATGACATTAGACACCAAGAAAAATATATTTAAAAAGTTGTCTGTTTTGGATGTTTCAGATTGGGACACATTTGTAAAACGTGGGGACAACGTATGGATAGTACGGATAGTTCTCTACACGTGTGCTCTTTATAGAGCAATTCATTTAGAGTTAATAACATCGCTTTCCACTGATGCTTTTCTGTTATCATTTAGACATTTTGTTGCTAGAAGAGGAAGACCTAGAGTGGTTTATACAGACAATGGTACAAATTTTAGGGAAGCTTATAATAATTTCTTAGAAATTGATAGGAGTAAAGTAACGCGACAAACAGAAATACAGAAGATCGAATGGAAATTCATTCCCCCCACTGCTGCCTGGTGGGGCGGATGGTGGGAAAGACTTGTTCGAGTAGTCAAAGAACTCCTTAGAGAAAACATTGGGCAGAGCTGTTTTACCTATGAAGAACTGGAAACAGTTATGTGCGAATGTGAAAGGGTAATAAATTCGCGACCCTCGACATATTTGTCTGAAGATACAGAAGACTTAGTTCCACTTACACCTGCCACGTTTTTGACCGATAGATCCAATTTAGATGTAACTGATATAGACACAGTAGACACCAATCATCTCAGGAAAAGGATCAGATTTCGTGCAAAATTAATGGAAGATCTCCGAGTATGTTTTCGAAAGGAATATTTAGGACTACTTATTCAGAAACGACAGCAAAATTCACAATTTCCAAATATTCGAGTGAATGACGTTGTGTTGAAAGGAGATGATATCAAGAAGAGATTGAATTAGCCTTTAGCCAGGGTTACGGAACTGATTCCAGGAAAAGACGGTAAAGTGAGAACAGTTAGATTAAGAACGCAAACTAACAATTTAGTACGTCCGATACAACGAGTGTTTCCTCTAGAAATCCAAGATGATGATTTGTCAGGTTCATGTCATCCAAGTGATCCTCAAAAATATCAATCTGCTGTAAAGTCTTCAGTTTCTCATCGTGGAGACGACTTGCGTACCTCTCATCATTCAGAAATTTCTGGGTCACCCCGATTTCCGGACCCCACTGATGTTTCCGATGTATGTGACAGTTTTAAGACAACAAAGACAAGATCTGGTAGAACTGTTAAGATGCCACTTAGACTGAGCTTGATAGACTTGAATGTTTTGAGTAGCTATCCAGCAACTCAAAGGGGGGGGGAGGATGTTGTGAATGGCACCACTACGCCAGCGAATCAAAGGCCAGATAGAGACTGACATCATGGGACGCCAGAGAAAAACGAACAGTTGCGGTTTAGATAGCTAAGGACGATGTTTGCATGATGTAACTAGATAGATATTGTAGCTAGATAAATATTTCTTATTCATTTAACTTGTACTTATGTGTAAATAAACCTTTTTGCTTAGTTTAAATGAAGTGCTCCATTTATGATAAGATAGCTGTTAATTCATCGGGTATATGACTTATGACTCCCTTCTGAGCTAGCCATTGTTTGAACGTAACGCATTACATAACATTAGAAGTAAGCTCAATAATTTTGAAAACTGGCTGCTAATATAACTGTAAAATTACTACATAGGAGAGAGTGAAATACCATTAATGTAATTTCGTCAGTCAAACATCTTACGAGGGAGCAGTAAAACCATACAACGACACAACTGCCTCTTAAAAAGCAATATTCTGATACTTTAAGGAGTCATTTTTCTTAATCATATACTGCATAGAACTTTCTTATTAAAACAAATTATTAATTAAAACAAACTTTTCACCACATTTTACGGGCACACTGCCCCATTTACAAATTCTGCCTACATTTAATATGTCAAACAGAACCAGAACATTTAAAATAACACTTACGGATTCTGTTAAACTTGGATCTTTTTCTAGAAACTGAACGACACAATAAGCTAATTGCGGATGGTACACACTTAGAGACTTAACTTTGTGAAGAGGCATTAGAACCTTCAATAGGAAAACTTTATGCTCCTCTTTCAAAGGTAGAGCAAAACCATTGATGATGCTATAGGAAAAAAAAAAAAAAAAAAAAAAAAAGACATAGTAAGTTTTACAGTACAGTTATCTTAATTATAATCTCAGCCTGAAAGAGATGAGACTTCTGAAAATACTTAAAGAAAATCCTAATATTTTAAATGCATTAAAAAAAAAGTTGAAAACTTCAGGTTCCAGTCTAAAACTTTAAAGAAAAGCTTACCATTACCTATTTCAAAAACTGTAAAGTATAAAACAGTGTTAAAAACAGAAGACAAGAGAAAATTATTCTGTGCCAGTTATATAGTACATCACATAAGAAACATCTTTTATTAAATACACAAAGCTGCAAATATTCATAAAAATCAGATTACATACATTATAAAAAAATCACCAAGAAATGTTTTTGAAACTTGAGTTTCAATTGTGGAAGATCAGATCAGAGAATTAATCTTCTTCCAACTTATTTCTAAAAAAAGGTCATTCACCAGGAGCTTTATCATTTTACAAAACATAATCCAAAACTAAACATCATTTATATTGATCAAACAGTGGTTTCCAAGCTGCAGTGCCTTTTTCCAATTAAGATTTTTCTATAGTGCCCTTACTTTAAGTAAAAGTATGAACAATTGTAAGTAATGGATTGAAATAAATAAAATTTGATGAATTCTAAGTGAGGGAACAAAATAAATAAAACTTGTGTATCTTCATTATTTAATACTTTTTAAACCTACTAACATTAAATTAATAACTAATGTGATGGATGAGCCAGAAAATAACTGCATATTTTCTGACAGAATTAAACTGGACATAGCCACCTTCACTTTCTTTTCCACATTGATCTTTGCTCTATATTTGTTTTTTATTACAGCAACTGCCAAAAACCCAGCTATGTACAAATGCAACATCGAAAATACAACTAACATCCACTGACCTTTATCACTTCGGAAGGAATATTTATCTTTTATTGAAATCTAGAATTCTGTCAATTCCATGCTGCCAAATTTTGCTTTCAAACTGTTGTGGTAAGATAACTTCGTAGGAATCTCTTCTTCTCTGTTAATTTTAGGTAACTAGCCTACAAGATCTTCTGAAATCCAGAACCTACAATCAATTTATGATGGTCAGACCTAAGGATCTAGGCTGGTTCTGATTTTCAGTTCAAATTTCAGATGAGCTCAATAATGGCTACTTTCCTCACCAGTTTTGCACTGATGTTACTGATTAAGGAGACTAGAAATGGTCACTTCAGAAACTTACTTGTATTTTCAGCTTAAGGAAGACATTCAGATTTGCATGCTACTAGCTTTTTACCTAGCTGAAGCCTAAGCTTGAAGGTTGTAAATATATTGCCAAGTGATGTGGCTATCAGTCACTAGACATTTGGTCCTTCTTTTCTTCTAGTATACCTCCTAGCATTATAAAAACTATGCCAACACAGAACAGAAACACATCAATGTAAAACAAAATTAGGTAAATGAATTTTATCTTAACATTGTTTTCAAGTTTATAGAGTTCATCTTACCATAATAGTGATTTCAAAGCATAAAAATAATAATGCTTCAGGCGGCTGAAAACATTTAATGCGCTATTAATGCTAGGAAAATAATTTTTTTTTAAACATCTCTTGAAGTAGTACACTGTACTATGCAGTACAGAGCCTACATTTCTTCATTTTTCACATATCTTTTTTGGTTCAGGCTTAAACGTCAGAATATCTTACCTTCATATATACATATATATTATCTATTTTCAGAAAGGTCTGGGTTTAAGGAAGCATAGAAATGCTTAGAACATATGGGAAATTTTACAAAGGAAATCCCAAGTTATTAAGAATTTAATATGTTTACATATATAAATGCAATATAATTTCAAACCATAAACAATCAATATTTTATAATTAAATAAACAAAGCATTTTACATCTAACAAGTAAAAATACACAGAGATTAAATGTAAGACATTTAATATATAATTACCTCCCTAAAATCTCTAGTAGTTCCGCAATGCCATTATGATGTTCCGTTTCATAGATAAACCTAACAGAAGGAGGGGGGGAAAAAGCAATGCACATAAAAAGTTAATTATGCTAATTTTACAAATTATTATTATAAATAAATAAAAAGATTACACTGCTTGCTAATCAAAACAGACAATTTTAAAACTAATAGCTAATCAAATTAGAGTGGTTTTAAAGACTACTCTACTTAATAAATTAAAAAATATACACTGCACAATGTTTTCCAAAAATAAAAAAGTTGTTTTTGTCAATCAGCATAGCAACTTCAATTATTTTTTAATGGTGACTGAATGTCATTTTAAAAATAAAGCATGAAGAAGTCACATACTTAGAAGGATTTTATAAATAATTCAAAATAAGCACTGGTAGTATGTTTGATCAACTTCTTCCGTTCCATGTAGCTTTTTCTTCCCATTTTTTAACCTTCTGAGTGGCACAGGAATTTAGATCATGAAGACCGGTATTTATTTTTAATTGAGTTTGTATAATTACTTACTTTAGTTTGTATTTTCATAAACTTACATTCATTAAGATGATATTTGCATTATTAAGAAAGTAAGAAAGCAAAATATCTTAAACTATAAGCTAATATATGTCAAGTAGAAAAATTTCTGATGACCGGTAAGCCAACGAGTGATGGTGTACCACCGGGGTACCTGGGTCAAAAGACCCTACCCCCATCGAAAATATGCTAATTCGAACACAATGCAAGTAAAAATATGCCCAAGCTATCTCATTTTTTTTTAATATAAATTTTTATTTATTTATTTTTTTAAATTATGAATTAATTACAGGCTTAATAAGGGAAATTAGGATGAATATTAATAATCAATTAAAGCATACATATTCCATAAAGAAAATGCCATCTAGAAAAACTGCAACGTCCTTCGAGCAAGTGGGAACAGAAATAGCAGCACATAATAATTATCAGCAAAAATTTGGTAAATGCAAGACCCAGTGTGCAATATTAAAAGAAAATATAAATACAATCACAGAATAATTTACATAAGCAATGCAAGTTAGAAGTAGCAGTAACACAGATAACCAAAGTATAGTTGAACTTAATCAATAGTGTCTCTAAGAATGGCCATAGCCGTTATGATGTTACACATTGCTAGTTGAACTAAAAATTTCTTCGAACATTGAAAACAATAAAAATAGTTTACCAATAGCATGTTCTGCACTTTGCAGTTCCGGCATTTTTTCTGAAATCTTTTTTAGAATACTCATAACAGAGAAGCCTTTAAATATTTCACAGACCTCTTTAAGCACTTTATAAATATCAGTAAATGCATTGAAAGAAAAGTCAGAATTTTGATCACTCTTGAGTGAAATACCCCGACTTACGGGTTTATCCGATCTGCCTTTAGTTTCTGATGACTGGATAAAGTCGGTCATAATGCTCAGAGGGTTGCATTGAAAGAAAAGTCAGAATTTTGACCACTCTTGAGCGAAATACCCCGACTTAAGGGTTTATCCGATCTGCCTTTAGTTTCTGATGACTGGATAAAGTCGGTCATAATGCTCAGAGGGTTCATTTATAAGCCTTTGAACTTTATCAAGTAGCAAAATGGAATAAAAGTTTTTCTGAATTACTCTATATTACGGAACAATCACTAATGTAATGATTTCAGTTCAACTAAATTACACATCATTAAAAAAATGTTGTAGAGGAAATAAATTCAGCCAAATCATCATAATGAAAACAGACAATGTGTTTGAAGAATGTTATATTTCATTTAAAACACAATTTATTTAGCATTTTTACTACACATGGCAAATAAAAATCAAATTTTGTCTTTAAACTGAATGAATATGCTTTATCCAACAGAAAGAGACAGGTGTGTCCGAAAGAAAAACAATAATGACAAAAATCAGAGAAACTAGATGCATAAGTTTGAAGCTGACAAGTTTAACTAACAGCAAATATTTGCCAGATAGTTGGAAAATTAGTAGACAGCCATCAAAGTTCACAAACATTAGCTCAGCTAAATGGTCAAACCTTCATTCAGGACAGCTGTTTTTCTGATGTTACTATGACAGAGATGCAAGCTTTTAAGGAAGGCTATTAACTGAATTATGATCACAACACTCAAACATTTTCAGTCAAGGATTCCAACAGCATAAATCCTTGCACACCATTAAAAGTAGTACTGGGTTATCTTACGTTCAGCTAGTGCACTGGCACCTGATGTCAAATGTTTCGTAATTGTTGCTTGCACCACCTTCAGTTCAGTAAATTTTGAGTATCATGCAGTAGGTTCTGTGTTTTTATGAATAGTTGTGTTAACAAAGTTGATTTTTTTAGCAACATGGAGTCATGTCTTGTAAGAAGCAACACTAGTCACATTTGCAACACTTACAATGGCGAATCTTCTACATGCATGAAGTTTCAAGTTTAACTCAAAGCTTGGTTGTTTCAGGACTTCATTTTCTCTGCTTCAGCCACCACCATGCAGGAAATAGCAGCGGTAAAGATACCAATCTATAATCCTATCAATCCTGCATTGTGGTTTGCTATGTGTGAATCAACTTTTTAGCTGTATTAAAGCCTATTACGAATCCCAAAATGAAATTTAACTATTGTGTTGCTCATTTGCCGTCGGAGATTACTTCTTTGGTTTGAGACATCATATTTCAGAAGCGCATTGATGATTCTTATCAAGACTGGAAAGCTGCCATTACTGAGCGTTGCAGAGAAAAGCAGTACCCAAGAAATCTGAAAATTACTCGCCGAAGAGTAAATTGAAGACAGAAAACCATCTGAATTGCTTCATGTCATGAAAATTAGTGTTGGAAAACCTGATATATCTGACTAATTGGAGTAGTCTATTCAGCAAATGAAGTGAAATGTTCAAGCTATTCTCGTGTCTGTTGAGTTGCTCGATTCTTTGAAAGCCACCAGCACTGCTGATCAGATATTAGAAATTACACCCACTCAGTAATAATTATAAACTGGAATCCTTGCTGGATGAGGTAATCACGTAATTTCCAGACCTCTCGAAATTACATGGTAAGGTATTGTCTCTACGACGATTATGCAGTGTTTCTAAAAACTGCTGCAACAGGAAGTGAAGCTAAAGCTGCTTCGAATTTTTCCTATTGCTTGCACCATCATAAATTTAATGAGAAAGCTAAAACGAGAAACTAACAGTATCACACATTTTGCTGCAGCTAACTCTTCATGGCTAAATATTTTCTGACAACAAACAGTGTACACCATTACACTTTCTATACAACAAAAGCATTCAATGTGTCAGTGAATAAATTGGGTTGAAACTAAGTTTCATTTTTCTGCACAATGTTTAAAATTCTTCCAGTTGGTACACTTCTGAACTACCAGCAGTATTTCATGCATATGGCATATTTTGTAATAGTTATAAAATTTCCTTTTTCAAAGAATCTGCCATGCATTTAATTAAAGCAACTGTTTTAGTCTTTATACAGGAAATTTTTCAGGCTTCTGAAGTATCAAGAAACCCTGGTCAGAAGATTACATGATCAGCAAATGCAAGTGGAATATTGTGTTCATCAGAAATGATGAGTATGAAAGCCCTACATTTATAACAAATTGTCAAAAACAATAATACTGTTTTCAAAGCAGATTTTATTTTCATGTAGTGCAGTGTTCATTAAATTGCATGTGCCACAAGCAGTTACCACAACTCCTATAAATGACCGAAAAACCGCACTTGCACAAACAGAACAAAATACGACTTTCTGAAGATTTTAAAGAAAGTAAACATTATCACTTTTCACTTTTTAAAGAACTGGTAGCCACGTTGAAAGCAATATGAGATGTATATTGATCCCAACAGTTTTTAATGAAATGCATGCAAGAATTACATATATATGAGTTTTAAAAAACCGCATAGCTTCCCCCACGACCCAACATTTAAATGCTTTAATATTATACAAAAATTATTTCTTACAACTCCTTTTTGAAAATACTTTATAGATATTTTTCACTTTTTAGTACAGCATATATATTTAAATTAGTTTTATATATATTTCTATTACATATTTAAATTTTTTTCATTAACATTCTGCTTTACACTGGATTTAATTTTCAGATATTTTACCAAATTTAGATTACTATTCAAAAAATTCCATTTTCTTTTTATTTTCATAGGTGGGGAATAATAATAAATATTTAAAAATTAAATATTTTGTAAGCAACAATATTTTAAGTTTTAAATACTTACTTAAATTTAAGTGTTTATTATTATTTCCCTTTTATAAGCTGCCTTTGAAACAACAGTACATTAAAGAATCTATTATCATGACTGTATAATTTACATGACATTACAATCTCCTTTCATTTCTGTAGAGGTAATATGTGCACGAGTTTTTACCTCTTTAAATTAAAATAGATAATTTACTTTTTAATTCAGACCATACAACCTCTTCCCCCCCACACAAAAAAAGTTAGGTAACATAAAAATGCACCACCCAACATACTTGAAAATGAAATGCTGGACCTCTAAACTACCAAAGACAAAACTTTTAAATGATGGAACTTCAACTTACCTGTAAAAAATATTATTTATTTGTTTACGTATGTATGCCCTGAGACCCAGGAATTTTCCATATATTCTATGCAAAGTCGTTTTTAAAAAATCCCTTTCTCTAGGATCTTCACTATCAAATAACTCCAATAACTATAAAAAAATTGATAGAATATTCAATTGCACATGAGACATCTATGAGAAGTACATAAAAAATTAACACATAAATTAAAAATGCATACCTGTAGCACAAATTTTTGATCAATGTAGCGCTTAACAATATTTGGTTGAAAGTCAGGTGATTCAAGAAATCTGAGAAAAAATTCATAAACCAGCTGTAAAAGAAAATGACAATATTTTTCACTTTATTTAACAATGATGTGATATGAAATATAAAAAAATATACACATGCACTTTAAAAAATTAACATTCATAGTTTTGCTTTTCCTTTTACTCACAAAATCTGACTGATTAAAAAGCTTCAACAATTTAATAGACTGTAAAGGCCCTTATTTTCACGAGGCTTTAATTTTCCCGAGCCCATCGTAATCGCGAAAATTTAAGCCTCGTGAAATACTTTTTTTTTCTGCCTCAACTAATAATAAAAAAATCAGAAATTTTTCACTTACCCAAAATTTAATGATTTATTGCACAGTTACAAGCTTTTCCTTGACAACTTTCTTATAACTATTTTTTGAATAATATACAACTATATTTCTCGAATATAAAACAATAAAATTAATAGAAGGCAGCTCATTCACTTAGAATACTATTTATACCAACTTCTTTGAAGCCATTCAAAATTATCTCATGTTTGGCTTCAATACCCTTAAATACGAACACAAGCCAAGAAGCGTGAATCGGTTTTAATCGTGATATTCGCAAGTCCACAGATTCTTTTCTTCTAGTGTTGTTTAAATAAAGCTCTTTATCAATAATAGGTCCAAACAGTTGCACTACTCATATTATAATTTGAAGAGTAATGATGAATAAAAATGAATAATTTAGAATCATGCCTTTTGGCAACAGTTTCATATTCGATAATTTATTCTACCTTGAATATCATACCCTTCATTCATTATTTTTTTGTGTTATTTTAAATGTTGACGTTATTCAATTTTTTTTTTTTACAAAATTAGATTTTTGATATTGCTTCAATAAATGCAACATATGTTTACTCCACTTAGTCAAGAGGTATGAAAAGCATATCTTTTGTCATAGAAAATCAGCTGAATAGTAAACTAAATCCTGACAATAATACAGTCTGTCTACCAAAAGAAAAGCTCTTGCCAGTTAGTCTGGAGCTGTCTGTTGCCGTAGAAGCGAGCCTTGACCCATTTTGCGAAGGGGTGTCTTGAATATTTACTTTTCAGTTTGCCATCTTGGCACAATTAAAGGTGAATTAGCAACCCTTGGTTCACCCCTATTTGAAATACACTAGCCCTGCTGCTATAGCGACCACCACAGGCCAGACACTGTGGTGGGAGCTATTCTTCTCATAGACAGACAGTATCTATTTAAACAATTTTATTCAAATCTACTGACTTAACTCCTCCCTTAAAAAAAAAAAAAAAAAAAAAAAAAAAAAAAAAAAAAAAAAAATTCTTTTAAGTAAAGGAAGAAAAACAATTCCTTAATATTTCTACTTTGCATTAATAGCAGGATCATAATATGGAGTGAATATTAATGTATGCTATAACACAAGTTATTTGACAATGCAGGTTGACAAGGGAAAAAAAGTGTATTTCTTACAGTTTATCAGAAAAGGTGATGTTTTTAATACCTCTCTCTAGCATGCCCAACTTCTTTTGAATTAAAAAAAGGTACACAAACTTAGTAACACAATCAAAAGTTGTTAATCCGGACTCGTCGGGACTTTGGCGATTCCAGATTATCGATTTTTCCGACTTACAGAATATCAGTTTAAATCTGGTTAGATCGCATGCAGAAATTATAAAATTAAAAATATGAAACCATAATTTATGAAATAAAAAACAATTATGATCTAAAGGGTATCAAAATTTAAAAAAAAAGGCTTAATATTTATTTGTTTACTTTACTTTCTTCGCTATCGGAAGCGAATTATAATGACGAGGAATTTGATTTAAATCATATCAAAGACAGAGTACATCGAAATTAAATACTACACTTAGTAAGGAATTATAAGCCAAATAAAATAAAAACATCTGCCCTGAAGATAAGGATAGTGCTGACAGATCAAGTTCCAATTCATTGCACGCCGCGGCGTCCCCCCGCCGCAGAGCAGCGTGAAATTGATAAACAGATTTCGGAATGGTTAGATACACAAAGGATATGCCTTTATCCATTTTTTACAGCAATTCCACTTTTTGTTTAATGGACTTCGAAACATACTTTCGCTTTGTAGATCCTTTACATACTAGTAAATATATATCGGAAATTCTATTTGACATAATCGAAATTTCAAGCTTTACTTTTATAAAATTGCTCTAACAGTTCCGCAAAAAATAATAAGCCCGGATCCAATTCGAAGATTAAGGAACAACGCAATCTGCAACATTAACTAAATTAGATAATTTTAGCTTAGCTTATACCGTCCGTTATACATTAAACGCGCATGCGTAAACGTATTTTGAGCATGCGCACACGCATATTCGCAGCCGTAAAGGTCTTACGCGCATGCGTCAATGCGACGCATGCTCATAAAGTTTGTAGCTTTGAGGTCCGGATTATGGGTGTCCGAATTAACGACTTTTGACTGTACTTCTTAAACACTACTTTAAAAATATTTCATGTAAGCTTAGAAAGAACCACAATAATGCAAGATGATAGAATATAATACACATTACAATTTAATAGAATATCATACTTGAAGGTGTGGCCAGGCAGCTTCTAACGTTGGCTCATCCTCTTCAGGATCAAATTCTGCACCACTTGGATTTGATGAAGGAGGCAATGTGCGAAAAACATTGCAACTAAACTGTCGGATAATTTAAAAAGATAACAATTAATGACAAACAGGAAGCTCAAAACTGAAAGCTTACACAAAGGAAACATAGTTAAAACACCATAAGCTTCATCTATTAAAGTAATAGGGAAATAACACATACACATGTAATGAGCTAAATATAAACATACTATTAAGTGCTATGCTTATGACACATTGCAAAATTAACTAACAAAATTATCCTTAAATAATATAAATAAAATAGTTTTCGTAACTTATTTGACTGTGGTTTACCTCTGAAGCTATCAGAAAGATAATTCATCACTGACAAAAGAAAGTCTGTCAAAAACAATATGAGAGGAGACAATCAGAGTACTTATTAATGCTAGACTAAATGCACAATTGAGCTGAGATGTGACTCTGAGAGATTAGATTGGATTAATTACTCACAACAAAGCATAATATATGGGCTAACTACCTACACTGAAGATTAACTTCCTGGAAGACTTTCCATGGATGCTGGGCCATACTTACACTGAATTAGGAAGAACTGGATGGTTATCTATAGAGTCCACTGCCTTGAATCAAACATAAAATGAACTAATTAGCTCTTTTTTTAGGCTTCTGCCATTTAGTACACATGCAGGTGCTTCACTAATGGAAAATTACAAGTTGCCTTATAAATATTAATGCCAAACATAAATAATTGTTATTTTACTAACACAAGCTAAAGACACATATAATGTACATCTTTTGAAGCCATTTAAAGTTACTAGTTTTCTGATGCTTTAAAATGCCATATACAGTGAAAATAGCACGGAATGTATGCTGTCGTTGTAATAATCAAAATGAATACACGGTAACCCTTCAAAACAAAATCAAGGATCATATTTAATGCTGCAAAACATTTTAACTTTAAAATGTTTATTGATGCTCATCAATATGATTGTCATTTAATGCTTCATAACATTTTAATTTATAAAATCCTTTACTGAGGCTCATCAATATGATTACCTCTTATTATACTCACGAATATGATTACTTGCATAGTAGATTAGTCAAGATCACTTTAGCCATGCATCTGAACTACATACAATTTCTTTGGTAATATTCTTTATCTCTCTTTGAAAATCTTTTAAAGACCTCTTAAAGGATGAAGAATTTCTTTCATTTACCTTCCTACTTATTTGAAGGAAATAACACCACAATGCAGAAACTAAAATTGCTTGATATCCACTGCCAAAAAATAATGAATTTAAACTTAATGGTGTATGAAGGTGCAGAACTTGATGAAACACTCCATATCTTGATAATAATCTTAAAATCAAAATTTTTCATCAAAATTTCAATTTCAAATTTTCATTAAATTGTCAATCAAAAATTTTTCATTCTAAAATATCTATGTCACTTTTTTTTGTAGCAATATTTTCTGGATTTAAAACCATACTGTTACTGCTTTCACTGTATCTAGTGACATAATGAGTATTCAACTAGTTTCTCCATATGTCACTAGTTGATTACTCATTACGTCATTGTCACTGCAACGGCAATCTTCCATAATATTATCCTTATTTATTAGTACATTTTCACAAATTATATACTATGGAAAATTTTGCTTTCTATACTATTCAAAATCTATGTCAAAAACAAAGCTGCTGTTTAGTCTAATTCTGAAATTGCATCTTCTTAAATCTGAATCATACCAACATTTTCTTGCAGCCAGACTGCTGCAGAAGGCAAGCACCCAAATGCTTTTGCTTTGGAGATTCTGCTAACGATCCAGAATTAAAACATATTTTGAAGTAATTGAAAACTCAAAATTTAATTTTGGTAAAAAAGCTATAATAATAATAGCTTGCAAAAAATAATACACTGGACAAAATGAGTTAAGGAAGAACATAATTTATTATGCTAACTTAATTTCTTTTGAATGAAATTCTTTCTCTCTTCTCACCATTATGCTAACAAAAGAAAACCAGTATTAGTAATATCTTATTCCAAACAAATATATATTTGGGGCTTCACTTATTATTTAGATGGCCACAGAAAAATATTACTCCTCCCACCTCCACAATTACTCAGTAAAAGTGTGCTCATAACTAAATGTCAATGAACATACTACCTGGTTGTAACTAAAGTTTTCTGCCAAAAAATGGTCTTAATCAAGTTAGAGGTGGGTGTGGCAAAAGATCCTATTTGTGTCCATACAGTGTCCTGCTGGTAAATGCAGACATATGTGATCTTGTATTACCTTCATGGAACATTACCTTTTTGTGCTGGAACTCAGTTTGTCATATGCCCTTGATAGCAGCATCAGCACGGACTAGCATCTCACTGTATACCTAACCGGCAAGGGTTTTAACTTTTTCCAGATATTCTTTGCGGATAATACCATGGCAATCCCACCACATGATAGTTTTACTAGTCAAATTTCAATTTGCAATCCTGCAGACGAGCTCACCAGGCACAGATCAACCCCCTTTCCTGCCTATGTTGATGAAGTAAATCTAGTTTTCATCACAAATGATGATCCAGTTCAGAATTTTGTCCTTGCATTGATATTCGAGTAGATCAGTGCAGGACCATACACGTCTGTTCTTATCTTCTTGAGTCAGCTCATGCGGAACCCACATACTGAACTTTATACATCAAGTTTATCAACCATACACGTCTGTTCTTATCTTCTTGAGTCAGCTCATGCGGAACCCACATACTGAACTTTATACATCAAGTGTATGCAATGGGCAACTAATGGACATGGCACTAATGTTAGCAGCTTTAAGATGGTTGCATACTGCTTAGCAAGCTTTCAAATGGCTGATCGGAATGTAACTCAAGACATACTCTGAACCTTGAAATTCAATGCTGTGCACTTCTGCTACCATCATAACCTCTTGATCAGGGAAAGGATACACTTCAGGCTTTTAAGTATTCAATGACAATGAGGATGTTTTTGGTGCCATACCAGCTCATGGGAATCCCAGAATATCAAAGGTGATCCTATTGTAATCTCTCAGCTGCATTTCTTCAGTCCTTTTTGGCCTGCATATGAATCGCATGCAATCGGTACCACTTTTGCACGTCAGCCCTTGCTTTAATCCAGTAGGAACACTTTTGAAATCTATGCAAAGGCCTCATTATCATGAGGTGGCGCCTTTTATCAGACTGCTATGTAGTTCTTTAAGGATGTCTGGGACCTTGGATGTATCAGCTGCCATTTGAATGCCTTTTAATCATCCAATTCAAACTTTCTGTACAAGACCCATTTCTAATATGGAATTAGTCACAGAAAGCCCAATATTATTTCGTTATGGATTTATAAAAGGAAATGTCCTCGCAGGTACATTTCTTAACTGAAGACATCATTAGGTCAGTTGTGAAGTTAATGTCACTGTCTTCCAACTGGTCTTTTCTGACTTCTTCATCCCTCCATGGGTCTGGGTTAGATGATGTTGAAGCCGTAACTTGATGTGTGACTAGATAAACCAGCTCATATTTCACTTTGTCTGCGGAATGATATTGGTAGATTTCTAGGTAGGGTCTTCTAGACATGGAATGTACATATCTGTGTCATGAGCCTTTCTTGTGATAAATAATGATTTCATACTTCTGGAGTCTCTGTATCTATCTGGCATTTCGCCTTCAAAATTCTTGAAACTGAACGGCCAGATCACTGATATATAATCTGTGTGGAGCAGGAGTTTTCTCCCATAGAGATAATGGTGGAAATATTCTATCACTTTAAATACTGAGAACAACTCTTTCCTGGTGGCACAGTAATTCATCTATGGTTTAGATAGACACTTGCTCTAGTATGCTATGACATGGTTTTGACCATTTATTTCTTGTGACAAAACAGTCCCAGCATTCACTGCTTACACCCATAACGAGAATATATGGTTTGTCAAAATGCGGGCACTTAAGGATTGTTGTACATGTTAAACATGCAAGGAAAATCACTTGCGTCTAAAACGTGTGTTCAGAATGTCATCAATTCAAGAAAGAGGGTAGCTCTCTTTCTTCATGACATCATTTAGCTGCCAATAATCAATGGAAAATCTAGTTAAACAATTAACCTTTCTGAGCACGATAATGGGAGAAGACTGCTGAAGGCTCAATAATGTCACTTTCTTGCCTCTGCTTTCAAAGTTTCCCTACTTCTTCCTGTTTGGCAATTGGTAGACATCTTGGATGTTGCTTGATTGGTGAATGGTCCACTGCATCAATTTCATGCTGTACCAAACTAATTTTGACTTAATGTCAGAAGATGTGTCAGAGAAAACAATTTGGATTCTTGAATGGCACACTTTGCAGCACTCCTTTCTGGATCGCTTAGTTCAGCATTCTGCAATAACTATGATGCTAGGCTCCCAGAATACATAAGAGAATGCAGGATTAGTGGTTCATTTAACGCAGGCCACTGGAGTACATGCTGGAAACACTTCATCTTTCTAATGATTTTCGTCTTGTCATTTACGTTTGTAAATCAGACCGGGATGAAGGCCCTCGAGAGGTCGATGAGAGAGATGTTTCCAAAAACGAGACTTAGTCTTATATTAATTTCTTCTGCAGAACACACCAAGGCTTACTTTCAGGGAATGTCTTATTTTTCATGCACAATAATTAACATCTGTTCAAGAAACACACTTTTTTGAAGGTTTGAAACATATATTTATTCATGTTAAAAAAATATTCATAAATGAACACAATCATTTATCACAAAATTCCCTGGCTTCTGGAAGTGAGCAGCTCTGATAAGATAGCATTCTGTACAAGTTGCTCTATGGGCTGCCTCGGAATTCATGGTGTACACTAAAGCGCTATACAGATACTTGACATCCGCCATTCACAGTGCTCTCAGTATATCATAATCCCAGATGCCATCAACAAAGTACTACCGGGAGAGGATTTCTCTTGTTTCAGTTGCGCAGTTTGGAAAGGCAATATGAGACAGCCTTTTAACATACATGGCAAACTCCTGGAGTATGTCCATGGGCCTCTGTTATTTTACAGTTCTGGAACTTTTCACACAA